GGACTGTAGGTCAAATGGACCTTAGGAAGCATTACTACGACCAAAGCTAGTGGAAGTGACAGAATTCCAGCTAAGCTATTTAAAATCCTAAAAGATGCTGCTGTTACAGTGCTGCATGCAATAAGTTAACAAACTTGGAAAACTCAGCAGTGGCCACAGGACTGAAAAAGGTCAGTTTTCATCCCAAACCAAATGGGGAAATGCCAAAGAATGTTCAAACTATCACACAATTGCACTCTTTTTACCAGCTAGCAAGGTTATGCTCAAAATCCTTCAAGCTAGGCTCAGCAGTATGTGAACCAAGAAATTCCAGATGTATAAGCTATGTTTAGAAAAGGTAGAGGAACCAGAGATTAAATTGCCATCATTTGCTGGATCATGGAGAAAGCAAGGGAGTTGAAGAAAAACATCTACTTCTGCTTCATCGACTGTGCTAAAGCCTTTGACTGTATAGATCACAATAAACTGTGGAAAATTCTTATTGAAGAAATGGAGATACCAGACCACCTTACCTGCCTCCTGAGAAACCTGTATGTGGGTCAAGAATAAACAGAACCAGACAAGGAACAACTGACTGGTTCAAAACTGGGAAAGGAATAAGACATATGTTGTCAGCCTGCTTATTTCACTTGTAGGCCAAGTACATTATATGAAATGCCGGACTGGGTCAATCACAGGCTGGAATCAAGATTGCAGGGAGAAATATCAATAACCTCAGATATGGAGATGATCCCACTCTAACAATAGAAAGAGGAACTAAAGACTTCTTGAAGGGTGAAAGAGGTGAGTTAAGAAACTGTCTTAAACCTCAACATTCAAAATACCTAAGATTTGGGCTGCCCTGGGGGCTCAGCTGGTAAAGAATCCACCTGCAATGCAGCAGAGCTGTGTTCAATACCTCGGTTGGGAAGATCCCCTGGAGAAGGGACTACCCACTCCAGTATTCTGGCCTGGAGAATTCCATGGACTGTATAGTTCATGGGGTTGCGGAGTCTGACACAACTGAGAGACTTTCACTTTCATATAGCATCAGGTCCCACCAATTTATGGCAAATAGAGGAGGAAAGAGTGGAAGCAGTGACATTTCATTTTCTTGGGCTCCAAAATCACTGTGGACAGTGACTGCAGACATGAAATTAAGACACCCGCTCCTTTGAAAGAAAGCTATAACAAACCTAGACAGTGTATTAAAAAGCAGAGATATCACTTTGCAAACAAAGGTATGCAGAGTCAAAGCTATGGTCTTCCCAGTAGTACTGTATGGATGTGAGAGCTGGACCATGATAGAAGGCTGAGTGCTGAAGAATTGATGCTTTTGAACTGTGGTGCTGCAGAAGCCTCTTAGGAGTCCCTTGGACTGGAAGGAGATCAAACCAGTCAATCCTAAAGGAAATCAGTCCTGAATATTCATTGGAATGACTGATGCTGAAGCTGAAGCTCCAATACCTTGGCCACCTGATGCAAAGAGCTGACTCACTGGAAAAGACCCTAATACTGGGAAAGATGGAAGACAGAAGGAGAAACAGGTGGCAGAGGATGAAATGGTTAAACAGCATCACTGACTCAATGGACATGAATTTGAGCGAACTCCAGGAGAAAGTGGAGAACAGAGGAGTCTGCACGCTGCAATCCATTGGGTCACAAAGACTTGAACACAGCTTGAAGACTGAATAACTTACAAGATAGCCTGTTGGCTCTTTACTACTTGCATTTATTTTGGTTTACGGCCAAAATTTTTCTAATTAAAAGAAAATTAAATATGTGTACAATATGAAAATGGATTTTAGAAAAAAAAACTTGAGTTCAAAATTAAAATCTATGACACCAAAAACAACAGTACTACTGCAAACATGAACAAAATTTAATGTCATACAGAAATCCATATACGGGTTAAGAAGACTCTAGAAACTGCAAGAGGTAAAAAGTAAACAACTTGATACACATTTCATCAATGACAAAAGGGGCCAACAAGCTTCTATGCACCAAGAAATTCATAAACATATTGAGTTATTGGTATTTAAAGTAATATAATACATAGAAATTCTGTGGCAATGTTATTGCTATTTTCAGGACAAATAATTCTACCATACCACCATACACAAGATCAGACTAAGCATGTAACATTCATTCCTACAAGCTTTCTAAAGTCTCTATGAACAAGAATGAAGTTATCCATTAGAAAACATTAACAGTAGTAACCTCTGAAAAAAAAAAATTTTTTTTTAACCTTGTTTTCCTCTTTCCTACAATATAGCTATTTTTGAATCAGGACAAGCCAAAACATATTTTTAAGATTTTTCATTTTAAGTATTACATACTGAACACTAAGGGACTTCTGCTTGTCAGTGAGAACTGTTGAAGGATTTTAAGCACTGAATTGACATGCCATGGACAAACCCTTGAAGAAACCCTTGGTACCCTGACTTCAAAGGCATTTGAAAATTGCTTCATGCAAATGATTGGATGTCATAAACAAGCTTTTACATACCAATTCTGCATTATTTCGGACAAATCTGGATTCTGAACTGAAGATATAACTACTCAGATTTAGAGTTAAAGCAAGACATCTAAAAATGAAAGCTCTATCAACTCAGGAGTTCCTCCATGACTTAAGCTATCAAGAATAGTTCAGCAAAACAGAAATTTGAACTAAAGGCAGCATGATATAGTAGGTTTGAGGTCATAGACTTGGACCTGATTCCCAGCTCTAACACTGAGTACCTTTCACTAACTCAAGCATTTCATTTCATCTCTAAACTTCAGCTTTCTCATCCATGGAACGAAGGCAACACGTACCCTATAAAACTATCACAACGGTTAATGCTAATGCCTAAGACTTGTAAACAGCAGATGTTCTAATCAGAGCTTTGTTACTATTGCATACTCACTGCTACTCAAACAGCCAATGATTCTATGATTAAAAGCAATAGTATAGGTACGTCCCTGGTGGTCCAGGGGTTAAGACTCCATCTACCAATGCAGGGGGCACAGGTCTGACTCCTGGTCAGGGAACTAAGGTCTCATATGCTCCAACGTGTGGCCAAAAAATTTTTAAAAATCTGATTGATTTCACTAAGTTTAGCAGATTAGATTAACAGAAATAAAAAGTAACACAACTGAAAAACTAGTCTTTCCTTATCTGTACACTGACTTGTAATACCTAACAAGATAGCCCATTCCTAGGTTTGTTATACAGGTCTAAGCGGACACACTCTCTGCTGACAAGATACTCTTGCAATTTCGAGTCATCTTTCTCTTCGTGGTACAGAGGAGACCCTTACAAATGAAAACTTCCTTTATAAATGTAACTTTCCCTTAAAAACCTTAACTTCTATCTCGTTTTCAGGGCTTCTGAACAGCTCTTTTTCAAAAATAATCAGATCAAAATAATCTTTATGCCGAAAACGCATACTCTGTGATAGTGTATTCTGCTCTCCTTCACTGTATAATAAATCACCTAACACTTAGTGCCTTAAAAAGGAAAAATTAAAAAAAGATATCCCATTTCCTTCCCCAAATCAAGATCAGCACTCACGCTCTGCCCAGGCTGAGGAAATGGACCAAGGGAAAGAACACAAGAAGAGCAGACAATATAGAATAAAGATCTGGGCCCAAAACAGGAAATCAGTGCTGCTGCCTTAGCCAGGTAAAGAGATTTCAACAAAAGAAATGTATGAGAAATGTTAAGATTTTTAAAAGACCATTTTCCTTATACACAGGAGATTCAACTAGATCAAAGTTGGAAACATAATTGGTGTTTAATAAAATACCTGTCAATCGATATATACACATTTTACTTCCTATCTAAAGCTTTTTATAAACAAAACTGGGACACTGGTGTAAAAAAGTTCATTTCAGTTGCTCAGTCGTGTCTGACTCCGCAACTTTTTTCCCCACGAACAGTATGAAAAGGCAAAAAAAGTTCAGGATCAAATATTTTTGTGTACATGTTTCTGAATTAAGAGGTATATTCAATTCCATCACCAGTCCCTGAAAAAGTGATATTCTGTGCCACTTTGACTCATCCATACCTACTTTCAAGCACTGAGAAGAAAGAATCCATCCCACTCACAACAAAGATAACCACTGCATACATAAGAAAAACAAGGAAAAAGCTAGTCAAGTATAAGGAACATCAGAATCTGAGGGCAGGAGCTTTCATCTTTATTGTTCACTGTTGTCTCTATATTATCTAGAACCATACTCAGCACATAATAGCTGCTCACTAAATACTTGCTGACTGAATGAATAAATTATTCTTTGAAAAAATAATTTTGGGCAACTAAAACAATTTTTTTAAATGTTGATTGTCTTAAGGCTTAGAAGAGTTCTGTTATTTTACATTTTTCCCAATTACTCTTATGGAAGAATACCTCAAAACAAAGAAAAGTGGATTTCTTTCACATCATTAGACTATAATGCTCTGAACCAAAATTAAACAGCATTGAAAAAAACTTTCTATAAAATACTGTTTCAATATATTTTTATTAGCAGTTATTACATCAAAATTCACATTTACAGGATCCAAAGGACTGTCTTAAAAATTCTAAAGTATATGTAATTAGATTTTAACAGTAAGATAGAACATATCCTCATTACAGCACAGCCCTTAAACAGTCAAGGATAATACTGAGAATTAAGTACAGTTCTATCAAGAACTAGAAATGAATTCTGTATGCATAGCGTCACTTAAAACGAAGTACCAAGGAAGTATAAGAAGTCTATGGATGTGAATTTCAGTGGCAAACATCATTGACTTCCAAAAAACTGACACCAAAGAAATTTCCAATCAAAACACAAGAATGGTGCCTTTCATTCAATGTAGAGCTATGATAATTCTATAAAGAGACCCTGAATCCTTAAGTCTTATAATACGCTTTTATGCTGTGACACTAATACAAAACACGTCAACTCTAATGCATAGATTGTGACACATTATGACAAAAAGATAGCCTTTTTCTATCAGAAAATCCTGATTTTTCCAGTGCAATACAGGCTGTTCATTGCTGATCTAATGAAATTCTACATCCTCCAGCCTGAGCGGTATTGTAGGATTCACAAATATTACACTTCATGCCTACTATATGGAACTGAACTGTAGATCTTCCATTGCAATCATTGCAGAGAATCTGAAAAGAGATGAATTCAAATTAAGTAAATTAAACCTTATCGATAGAAAGTGGAACTGTCTGTTCAAAATAATTCCTCAAAACTCATATCGAAGAGGTATCTTCCTGGCAGTCCAGTGGTTAAGATTTCGCCTTCTGATGCAGGGGGTGCAGGTTTGATCCCTGGTCAAGGAACTAAGATCCCACATGCCTCACAGCCAAATAAAACCAAAACATAAAACAGAAGCAATGTTGTAAGCAACTCAATAAAGACCTTAAAACTGGTCCACATCAAAAAATCATTTAAAAAAATTATACTGAAGATGTGAAAACATACATATGTAAGTCTAAACATTTCCATAAATAGAATATCTTTTATTTGTTCACTGGAAATACTAAGAGGCTATTAAAGTAGCTCTAAATTTAGAAAATGAAAATGTGGACATGCACTAAGAAGTCTTATTTTAAAAGTTCCCAAATAGCATAAATAGTACAAAAATTAACATAGGAATAATCAGATCAATACCTATAATTCAAAATAACAATTTCATTATTTTTCACTGACACTTAGAAAATTATCTCAGTCAACAATTTTTTACATATTTATAATATTTTTGCTTATTAAGTTCCTGGTCTTAGATGCCTCAAGAATGAATTAAAGTCCAAAAGAGTACTTTCTAAAGTTGAACTAAGAAAAGCTTTTGGTTCACTTAGGAATTAGTCTCTTCTTATACTGAGATCTTGAAAAATAAAGAAGGGTGTTAACCTGAAAATAAATCAGTACAATACTATGTGAGAAAAGCATTAACTTTAGAAAAGCCATACCATAATAAGTAGAAAACATCTAAATTTTCTCTAAATTATAATTTGGAAAGTAACTTTTTCTTTAAAGATTTTTCTTTGGACCGTTTTTAAAGCCTCTATTCAATCTGTACAATACTGTTTATGTTTTGGTTTTCTGGCTGTGAGGCATGTGGAATCTTAGTTCCTCAACCAGGGACTGAACCTGCACTCCCTGCACTGGAAGGCAAAGTCTTAACCGCTGGACCGCCAGGAAGTCCTCCTGAGAATTAGTTAAGAATATGATCTAAATGTAGAAGGTACTCACTGCCTAGAGTTAGAGGATTAAAGAATGACTGCTAATGGTTACAGAGTTTCCTTTTGGGGTGGAGAAAACATTTTAAAATTGATGGTGGTTTTATCTCCAAGAACACACTAAAAAGCACTGAACTGTCAATTTTAAACGGACGAGTTGTATGGTATGTGAATTATATCCCAATAAGGTTGTTACTTTAAAAAATGATCTAAACAGAATATAGCACGTTATAGCCTCTAGTAAAACGTGACACAATTATCAGTATTACAAAAATGATCTTTCATCGACCTAACAATTATCCACATGAATTATGAAATGCTCGTGTAAATTACACACAAAATAATTTTTATTTGGCTTTGTTAAGGGGTTTTTATCTTTTTGTGTACAAATATCTGAACTGAAGATTTTTGAATATTTTTATGTCCAAAAATTATTAAAGCACCAGAAAACTATCTACTTTCCAATTCTAATCTGTAAATGAATATGCTATGCTGAGACTAGACAGCAGCACATCTGAACTAATGGGAGAAAAGATGATCATTCTCCACAAGACTAAAGGCACAGAAATAAGACTAAAGGCACAGAAATACTTCTTATATTTTAGACTTCAGGCTAAGACCAAGTTAAAAAGTCTTAGAATAAAAAGCATAATAAACATTAAAAACCAAAAAGCAATCTTCAAAAAAAAAATAAACATGTTTGCCTTAAATAAAATTTAAAATAATTAAAACATAATCAAAATAAAATAGCAGACCAATAATCCACCTCTACTCAGTTATTATCAATTGACTCTGCTAAGTAATAAGTAAATAATTTAGAATGAAGCTTTTGCCTGCCATCTAGTGTTGGCAAGTACTGCACAAAGATATTCTTAGATTTTCTTTTTTCCTTTGAGTTCAGAGTAACTAAAATTTAAAGATTATCTGGTTCCTCCCATTAATCATTGCAGTGACATCAATGCTGAAATAGTACTTTTCAGACAGATTTGAGCAAAAGGGCAAAAATAAACATGACTATCAACAAGGAACCTGAAGTTTTTTTAGGCATTGATTCTACTCACATCCACAGTCATGTTCTGATATTCTGAGGGCATAGGAGTCTGTGCTACCTCATCATCCAGTTGTCTCCAGTACCTACTCATATCAAAAGCAGAGTGCATACACAATGGACATCTGTAGCCTCTAGGAGAGATATAAAAAGAGTTATTTTCCAAGTATTAAATGGAGAGTGTATCAACCCAGGTATACAAGAACACACATGCTAACTGGTACATAAATCATCTAAGACAAGCATTATTCTATACTTCAAGACCATCTCACAAACCTTTTTAATTAAATCATGTATCATAGGGTATTTTTTAAACCTACTTCTTTTTCCTCAGTTCTATAAAATGGAGAGGAATTTCTGAGCATTCTTTGTAGAATATACATGATATATTTTAAAAACCAATCAAACTGCTTTTTAGCTAAACAGCCTCGATTTCTTAATATATTCCAGAAGAGATTGTAGTCTTTAAAAATTATTCAGATCATACTATTTTCTTTCTAAAAATTCTGAAAATGTTCCCTTTTATCTGGCTCTTAAACTAAACTTTCTGCTCATCAGTTTGCAGGATCAAAATACATTTACACAATTTCTTCTTTTTATCTGCATCTCACTTCAGCATCTTTTCCCCACAACAAAATTAGCATTAGATAAATCTTGGTATGAGTTTTGGATTTTTTTGCAGCTCATCATAGTGGGTCAATACAACAGCTAATAATTTTGTGCAACATGTCTCAGCATTTTTATTTTTTACAACGCTATGACTGTCTCAGGCAGAGACCAAGCTCCCCAAATAGTAGCCAGAGAATGAGAAGTATCTGTCTCAAATTGCAGATGAGATATGGCATAACAGAAACATGCCAGAGGACAAAGCCAGAGTCCAGTGTTTCTCTCCCAACGTGCTTTGCCCAATTTAACACTACTCATCTACCCTACCCATCTCAAAGGAAATATCCACCATATCCACATATGGTATAAGTAACTGCGAGGTTTGCCCATTCCCTTCCCCACTTGCCTGCCAAAAAAAGAAACAAACAAAAACAGACATCTTACATAACAACTTTTTACAATCCCATCAAACACTCACTCTTTCACCATTTCTTCATAACACGTTCTGAAAGAAAATATAACATTATTTTAATAAAGAAAAAAGTATCTCCACCATTTCCAAACACTTTTGAGGAAAAAAAAAGTCACTTTACCTATGTAAAAGATGTCCACATGGCAAGACGTGAGCAACGATACGAGATGTGTGAATGTCCTGTAAAAGCAAATAAAGTTGGTGGTTAATTACATGAACACAATATAAATACCCAGTATTTCAAATTCAAAAGGGGATATTTCCAAAGCAAAAAATATTTTAAGCTCACCTCCAAACATATTGGACAATCCTGCCGGGAAACATTTTCAATACACTGTTTAAAAGCAAAATTAAAATTACCAAAAGCTTAACTAGATGGAAATTACATAACCATAGCATTAATAACAGTAACTAACAAAGGAGACAATACCAACTCACTAAATGTAATAATGAACATTAATATGTTTCCTATATGTCAGACAAGAACTGAACAATAAACTCTCACAACTATTTCAGGCTTTGCACATTACCTGAAACAATGAAACTGCCCAATACATCTTAATTATTCAAATTATCTTCATTTTACAGATAAAGAAATAGTAATAGTTCATATTAAAGAGATTTTACTACATGCCAAGTTCATTGCCTGTATTATCTCAATTAATTCCCACAACACTGAAACATATACAATTATTTACCCCATTTTACAGATGAGGTATTTGAGGCCTGTGCATGCATTCTAGTGTGCTCAGTCATGTCCAAGGCTTTGTGACCCCATGCCCTGTGGCCCGCCAGGCTCCCCTGTCCATAATATTTTCCAGGCAAGAATACTGGAGTAGGTTGCCATTTCCTTCTCCAAGGGATCTTCCTGACCCAGGGATTGGACCCACATCTCCAGCATTGGCAGGCGGGTTCTTTACCACTGCACAACCTGGGAAGTCCTTTTGAGATCTAGAGAAGCTAAATAACTTCCCAAATTACATGCTATCAAGAAATGGAAATATATGTGTGCTCCAAAGGCTGCCCACTGAGCCTGAGTTCTTAACTTGACAACACAAGGTCTGATTAGGTGTGAAGAGTTAAGAGAAAGCATCAAGCCATAAATGATACCCAGGTTTTTTAGCAAACACCTGAGTAGATGATACCACCACTTACTAACAGACAATAAAAAATAACCAAGAAACAAAACAAAAATACCACAAGAGAAACTGAGTATATAGTTTTCTAAAGACAACACAGCATATCTAAAGGCAACACAGCAGAGTTAATCAACCTAAACTCAAGTCCACAAAACCAAACACAAAATTTTATCATCTCCTGCAATCTATTAATAAAATACTTAAAGCCAGGACTAAACTCCTTAGGCGTCATCTTCATTCAGCCCCCATTCTCTCTCCCTTATACTTGTCACTACATTCCCTATTTTCACTATTCACCTCAGTTTCTCTTACTACCTGTATTTCAGGCTAGCTGTTATCTAGTAGGGCTTCCCTCGTGGCTCAGTTGGTAAAGAATCTGCCTCCAATGCAGGAGACCCAGGTTCGATTCCTGGGTCGGGAAGATCCCCTAGAGAAGGAAATGGCAACGCACTCCAGTACTCTTGCCTGGAGAATTCCACAGACAGAGCTGGGTAGGCTAACAGTCCATGGGAACGCAAAGAGCTGGACACAACTGTGTGACTAACTTTCACTTTTTCATTATCTAGTATCTTTTTAAAAACACCCTCATCAGATTCTCCATTCTCTCAATTCTTGGATACAATCAGTACTGTAAGTGATAGTTTATTAGAGTTTCTCCTAAATAATGAAAAATAATTTTTAAAGGGCCTAGGATAATGATATAAAATTTCTACATCCAAGTTAAAAATATTTTTATTGGAAAGGGATACTGAATTATCTAGGAATGCTATATTAACAAAAGGTTACACTGCTCTGTATTTCTCCTGTACCATACATTTTAAAAGCTATCCTCAAAACCAGTTGCAATGATAAGAATCCACAGGCTAATTTAGAGGCTATCTACATTATACTAATAACTGATGTTAAGTATTCTTACACACTATAGAGAAGAAAAGGGAACTGTAGATCAGATATTCTAAGGTCTGTACTTTAGAACATTTACTTAATACTGCTTAAAAATAAAAAGCAACATGACTATACTCAGTAACATCTGAAAGTTAGCATGCTTTTAAACAAATTAGGATTTTAGCTGTTTTCAAAAATAATACTTTTTAAATCATACAAACTGAAGTACATACCTTGTGCTTCCCTTGGAGATTCATTGCAAGGCATAAGTTACATTTCAAACAGTGGAAAAAATCTTCCTTCGGACCAATCCTAAAAAAATAACATGAACAACAAAAGATTACATATGCTTTTATTACATATTTACTCATTATAGGTAAGTTCAGATTCACTATAAACAAAGTTCAAACCACACTGAAGAATATGAGGTGAATCCCTACCTCCCCAACATCACTCCCCAAATGCAAGCACTACAAACAGAATGGTATCTATCCTTCTGAGTGTTTTTTTTCCTTCTATAAAAACTGCATACACACACACATATACAGATACATACGCTTTGAGTTTTATTTTTTACACAAATGGATTCTTTCTATATATCCTGTTTTGCAACTTCTTCACTTAACAGTATTCCTTGAAGAATATTCTATGTAAAAATATACAGAACCACTTTATTCTTCGCCAGTTACATAATATTAAATGGTATGGATATATCTTAATTTTTTAATATTCTTTTATTGATAAAATTTACTATCTTTAGCTAATGTAATGATACAATAAATACCTCTTACAGACATCAGTCAACCTACATATTGATGATTTTTTTACAAAATTCCTAGAAGTGAAACTGTAGGGTCAGAGGGCACTGCATCATCAGTTCTGATACTGCCAAACTGACCTCCAAAGACAGTACTAATTTATACTGCCCCCAATGTGTAACAGCACCCATGTTCCCCACACCCTTGCCAACACTGGTTACCTATATGACAAATAAAAACATCACTTTAATTTGGATTTCTCAAATGGTGATACACAGAGCATATTTTACTATTTATGAACCATGTGGACTTCTCCTGTGGATTGTCTGTTCACGTGCTCAGTTCATTATTCTAATAGGGTATTTGTCTTTTATAATTTTAAAGAAGCTCTTTAACTCAAGTATATACTTGGCTTACAATATTATATTAGTTTCAAGTATGTAGCATAGTGATCCAGTGTTTTCATACATTATACTCCATTTAAAATTACTGCAAAATAATGGCTACCATTTCCCCGTGCTTTACCACCAGGGAAGCACACTGCTTCCTTATGGCAACTCACTCCAGTCAGTCCTGTCCGATTCTTTCTGACCCCATGGACTATAGCCCACCAGGCTCCTCTGCCCACAGAATTTTCCAGGCAAAAATACTGCTGGAGTGGGTTGCCATTTCCTATTCCGGGGATCTTCCCAACCCAGAGATCGATCCCATGTCTCTCACATCTCCTGCACTGGCAAACGGACTCTCTACCACTTAGCACCACCTGGGAGGCCCAATATATTCTAGTTTGTATCTCTTAATCCTTTACCTCTTTATCTTGTCCTCTCTACTTCTCTCTCTCCACTAGTATCCACTAGTTTGTTTTCTATAACTAAGTCTGTTTCTGTTTTGTTATATATATTCACTTTTTTTAAAAGATCCCACATACAAGTGATAATATACAGGATTTGTCTCTGTGACTTCCTTCACTAAGCACAATACTCTTTAGGTCCACCCACAATACTGCAAATGGCAGAATGTCATTCTTTCCTATGCTGAGTAATATTCCAGAGTGTGTGAGAGAGAAGACAGTGTGTGTGTATACACTACATCTTCTTTATTCGTCTGTTGGTGAACACTTGAGTCGCTTCCATACCTTGGCTACTGTAAGTGATGCTATTATGAACTCTTGAGCAAATGTACCTTTTTGAATTAGTGTTTTCACATTTTTTGGATAGGTACACACGAGTGGGGGGCTTCCCAGGTGGCGCAGGAGACACAAGAGACTCAGGTTCAGTCCCTGGGTCAGGAAGATCCTCTGGAGAAGGAAATGGCAACCCATCCTGCCTGGAAAATCCCATGGACAGAGGAGCCTGGCAGGCTACAGTCCATGGGGTTGCAAAGGGTCAAACAAGACTGAGCACGCAAGTGCACACACACACAGCACCCCAAGAATGGAACCACACATGCTACCATATGGTACGTCTACTTTTAGTTTTTTGAGGAACCTAATTTAAAGGAGTTCTTTATATATCCTGATTTTCCTGGTGGCTCGGATGGTAAAGAATCCATGTGCAATGCAGAAGACCAGGGTTTGATCCCTGGGTCAGGAACATCCCCTGGAGAAGTGCATGGCAACCCACTCCAGTATTCTTGCATAGAGAATCCCCTGGACACGGGAGCCTGGTGGGCTACAATCCATGGGGTCACAAAGAGTCAGTCACAACTGAGAGCAACGCTTTTATATATCCTGGATATTAATCTTTTTCACTTGTATATATTAAAATTACTTTTTTGGTATGTCAACTACTTTTACATCTTTTATCATACATTCATTTTAATTCCTAGGTAATAAAAAGACATGATATTTCAATTTATGGCTTATGCTTCTGTCTTTTTATTTTTTATTTTTGATAACTGCTTTACAGAATTTTGTTGTCTTCTGTCAAACCTCAACGTGAATCAGCCATAGGTATACATATATCCCCTCCCTTTTGAACCTCCCTCCCATCTCCTTCCCCATCCCACCCCTCTAGGTTGATACAGAGCCCCTATTTGAGTTTCCTGAGCCATACAGCAAATATCAGTTGGCTGTCTATTTTACATATGGTGATGTGAGTTTCCATGTTACTCTTTCCTTACATCTCACCCTCTCCTCCCCTCTCCCCATGTCCACAAGTCTATTCCCTATGTCTATTTCTCCACTGTTGCCCTGTAAATTGTTCAGTACCATTTTTCTAGATTCCATATATATGCATTAGAATATGGTATTTATCTTTCTCTTTCTGACTCACTTCACTCTGTGTAATAGGTTCTAGGTTCATCCACCTCATTAGGGCTCAAGTGCGTTCCTTTTATGGCTGAGTAATACTCCATTGTGTATAGGTACCACAACTTCTTTATCCATTTATCTGTCGATGGGCATCTAGGTTGCTCCCATGTTCTAGCTATTGTAAACAGTGCTGCAATGAACAATGGAATACGTGTGTCTTTTTCCATTTTGGTTTCCTCAGGGTGTGCCTCTTATTTTGAAAAAAACTTGTGAAACCCATTGGTCATATACATACTCTCCTATATACTTATAATACTACAGCTTATGATTTTTGTATTTTTCTTTCATCCATTTGAAATCCACTATGCACAGTAAAGGTGGGACAGCTCGTTGTCCCCAGATTCCTCTCATCCTCCTCCTGTACAATATGAGCTGGGCACAGGGATGTATTGGATAAAAACTACTTCCCACCTTCCCTGGAAGTGTGAACAGAAGGGACGAAGGAAAATTCTCTCTTGTGCCCCTTGGAGAAAAAAGGGTGTACCTTCCCTTCACCTATTTCCCCCTTTCCACTGACAAGAATATGAGTTCTTTTAAATTGTGTAGACAAGGAAGTATCTTATGGATAGCAGGGCAAAAATAGAAACCTGGGCTTCTGTTTAACTACATGGTTCAGACTTTTCCCTGAGAAACATAAATGTCTTTTTTGAGCCACTTGTTATTTAGCATTTCTGTTACAACATGCTAAAACCATATTCTAATGAATGCATAGAATTTTAGTAATCAATTTTTTGTTTCCCGAATGGATAATCAGTTATCTTAGTACCTGTTCTCCTAATCTGAAATGCCATTTTTGCTATAAATTCGTATGTTAAATATGTGAATGTTTGTGTGCACACACACACACAGTTTCTCCCTTTATTTATTTGTCTATTCCTATACAAAGAATATATCATTTAAATTACTCTCACTTTGTCATGTTTTGGTTATGTGGAAAGGCAGTCCCCTTGTTCTTCCTTTCCAAGTCTGCTCAGCTCTGTATACTTTCTCTTTCAGATGAAATTTACAGTCTGTCTGTCCAATTCCACAGGTAAAACCCTGCAGGAGACTCCCACTACTGCCCAAGACAGAATAACAGACAAGAGACTAGATCTACCCTCTTACCTAAAACTACTACCACACAACCCAAACAAAACATATGAAACAAGTTTCACTGAACATCAAGAAATGAAAGATAGCAACCTGCGAGATACAGGAAACAAATTAAGCAAGCCCTAAAACTGCCCTAGTTTATTGCCTAGAGCACTTTCAGGCAGTAGGACAAGTTGGAGGAACAAAAGCAGAGCCAGAAAGACTCGCTGATCAAGAAGATGAGCGGAGAGTCCAAGGAACCCAAGATTGCTGCAGCTCACAGGACAGAGTATCAAAGAGGACAGAGCTGCACAGGGGAACCCCTCAAGTATTTAGCAGAATACACATCAGCTCATGCATGTGAAGAAACCCCCCAAGGCCACGGCGAGAACCATTCAAGAGAACTAGAAGGAACAGTGTTCAGCACTCAGACACGGTCAGGACCAGTGTTTACTCCCTTTAGCCTGACTGGAAAACCTTAGAATTCATAAAGTACTGGGCTGAACACTCAGGAAGGTACTGCCGCAGTGGTGAGGAATAATTACTCCTGGAATAAGCACACCTCCAGATCCATCTAACAAATTATAAAAGCAAGTCCCAGAAGTACCAAACTGTTCAAAGTAACAACCACATCCCAAAATAAAGCTCAAGATTTGCAGGAATATGAAAAATTCCCAACAAGGTAAAAATCACAATGTCTGGTATCCAACAAGGACCAGCCACTCAAAAGGCAGGAAAACCAACTGAAAAAATAACTGAACAATCAAAATCAATCCAAACTGACACAGAGGTTAGAATTAGCAGAGAAGGACATGAAACCAATTATTATTACTACATTTCACATGCTCAAAGAGTTAATACAGATATAAAAATTAAAAAAAGACCCAAGTCAAATTTCTAGACATAAAAACAAGAAAAGGGGGTTTGCTTATGATTGTCACATCTTCTGGTATATTTGTTATCCTTCCTTAAAAACAACTACCTCAAGGGACCTCCCTGGTGGTCCAGTGGTTAAGACTCTAGGCTTTCAACATAAGGGGCATGAGTTCAATCCCTGGTCAGGGAGCTAAGATCTCACATGGCACAGCCATAAAACAAAACACTACATAAAAACAGAAAGTGATTTAAAACTCTCCAATAGAAACAAAGAGAAAGGACTGACATAGGACACTTAGAGCTCCAACACTGGTAACATTCTAATTCTTAAAAACAGTGGTTTGTTGTATTAGTATACTTTAAAATATACATGTATTACATATATGCTTCTGGACACATCATAACACTTTAGGATTTTTAGAAAGAAAAAAATTCCTATATACCAACATGTCAACAGTAGCTTGTCAGTGGATGGCTGGACTGAAGACTATTTTATTTTCATTCTTTCTACTTTCCTGTATTATCCAATTCTTAAGCCTATATGGATTTTATCAAAACTTTTGATAATTTTTTCAACTAATTTTCAAAAAGGAAAAATCTACCCTAATTTTCTACCTTAGCTTCCTATAAGCCACTTCATATAAAAGCATAATTTCTACCCCAAATTTAAAATTTAAATAGCCACACAATTGTTGATCGGCTAGTTAAAATGATGAAGGCATGAAGAAACTTTTTAGGGCAATAGAAAGTTTTTTTTAACCTTGATTTGTGATGATGGTAACACAGCAGATATATTTGTCAAAAGTTACTGAACATTTAAAATTAATGCATCCCATAAGAGGTAATTCTGAAAGTCCTCTGTCCATGGAATTCTTCAGGCAAGAATAGTCGTGTGGGTAGCAGCCATTCCCTGATGTAATTATACTCCAATAAGGTGATTTTTAAAACTATTACTGCTAAGATATATTAGAAATAATTTAAAAAGAACATTTTACATACAGTACCTACAAATTCCACAGTTTTCACAATGATACTGTTTCTTGTCTTTGTCAAACAGATGGCACACACTGCAATAATATTCTCCAAACAACGTGCTACATTCCTCACATGTCTGTTGTGCCTAAAAAACAAAAAGTAACTAAAAATATACAACTTACCAAAACATCTTGAATTACTAATTTAAATGTCCAGATTTTTTCCTAATGTACATGCGGTTTTACATGTTTTCATACAGAGCTAAAGTTGTATTTGCAATATTCTTGATTAAATTTTTAAAACCACCTTAGTACACATTTAAAAAAAAATAGAAATATGTAATAAAATCTTACACGCTGAATTTTTTCACAGTTTATGCACTGCACTTCCTTTACTTTAAAGCGATCTAGCTGATGATCTTCATTGTTATCATGACACAATCGGCAAGTATAAAGCTTGTCACAGCAAGGTGCCTAATCCCCAGATGAGAAAAAAAAAAGGTATAAGAAGCAAGACAAGGCAAGTTTGAAATAATGCAAAAAGAAATTTCTTTCCTTCTCCTCCTCCTGGAACAAGGTCAAAGATTACAACCAATGGATCATTTGGTAAGCTGATAACTATACGTAACATTTCACTGTTTTCCCATCAACATCTAGGTCTCTACCCAGTTGAACACAACCTTGCAGTTCAAACAGAAGAATTATGAAAGATGGCCATCCCTAAACTGAAAAGTTAATCCCACAATACCCTAAACTCATTCTCAACATTAAGTAGCAGGCAGGCAATTTCTACTTAAGACATTCCAGATAAATTCATTTACCAACTTTAATGCTGAAGAATTAAATACTATAATGATTATATTTTAGTCCACTTAAGTTTACCACACATCAACTCTGTGTCTTAAAGTTTGGAGGACACAATAAATGTAAAAGACAGTCCTTGTTTTCAAGACCGGCAAAGACTGCAAGTTGTTCAAGACAAGAAAGTCGACTCTCTCCTTCCAGGACACATGACTGCCCAGCTACACTACTGTTTTCGTGCTGTTACTTGTGGCCAAATGACTTAAGTTCTTAGCAACAGAATATGCACAAAATAAAATCAGCGCCTCTCCTGGGCCTACTAGGCATGCCTCTTCCCCCAAGCTCCCTTCTCCCTTTCCACCAGATGAAACGTGGACATGGCAGCAACCCAGCTGATGACTATATGCCCTAAAACATGGTTAACAACACAATAGAGAACATTTGTCCAAGGAGTGGTCATGTGAAACTGCCTCATTACCAAACCAGATCATTCATTCAGCTTGAATTGAGAGGTGAGAAGAAATAAACTTTTTATTCTTTAACTCACATTATTACTGGGTCTTTTTGTTACAGCAACTTAGCTTTACCCTAAACTAGTACATCAAAATGCCTCTAGGCCAGTAAGCTAACCTTATATTATACTTTCCAGTACACTGTGAACTTTAAGATCCACTCATTTCTGAAGACTTCCTATGCTATGACTTACCATAACATAGTTCATTCCTTCCGCTTACGTTTTTTGCCTGGCAGGCTTAGGCATACTCAGGCTAAATGAAGCTGGCAAGCTGTAAAACTTATTACTACAGGAGATGAAAGCGTATTCCGAGTCTCCACTCGCTTACCCGCCTTCCATTATTTCATCACACACCTGAAAATGATCCTGGGAAAAGCCAGCACAGGCCCGGGGTTGCCTCTGTCTACTTCCAACACCAAAAGACTAAATAAATGAACCCCCTGATAAGGTAACCGATGTGCAAGGCCAGGTTTTTGCCAAGCAAGAACTTTGCTTGCAAACTACAACACAAAGGTAGGACCAGTGGTCGCCTTGACAAAACACGCTCTTTACGGCAAGAAGCCAATCAGAGGTGAAGTTATCCTGACAACAGCTTAGCCCGACAAGAAACTTAAGCCCAAGCTTCACCTCCCGGCCCACTCCACCCCCAGCCCGGCGGAAGCTCTTAAGAGCCCAGTGAAATCGTCACCTTCAGGAGACATCCCCTGTCATAGTGCTCGCAGCCCCGCCGCCTTTGGACTTGCCCGTGGGCGCCATCTTCCTGCGCCGAGGACGCCATCGCCTCCACCTCCCCTCAAACTCCACGACCCCTTCCCCCAGGCCAAAAGCTACACCCAGAGAAGCAGCGCCGCTCTAGCCCGCCCTGTCCCAGGTGCTGCGGCCCCCGGAGCCAAAATGGCGGCAGGGCACGTGACCCGGGGCAGCCGGATTTCCGGCGCCCGGGACCACGGGGCGGAAGCGAAAGGAGGCGCAGTCTCCGTTGTCGTCGTTAGTTGCTGCCTTCACCGCTAACGGTAATAATTCTTAGGTTGCCTCCCCTTTTCCCCCCATCGCTACCCGCCCACACCCTGGGGGCGGTTCGGGGCGAGGAGGACCGCAGCGGCGCGGAGACGTCCGGTGACCCCTGGGGAAGGGCCGCTTTTGGCGGCCGCAGCGACACCTGTGACAGGGAGGCCCCTCCCTCCCCCGGCAGCGGCCGTAGCCTTGAGAAAGGGGCGGAGCTCCTGCCTGGCCTCCCGGCTGGGAGCGAGTCCTAGCGCGCGCGCGGCAACGGCCCAGCAGCGAGCCGCTCGTCAGCGACCCGAATGCCTTTTTGTCCCCTTCTTCATTACTTCCTCTTCATTCCTTCAGTAGTATATTAACACTTACTATGTGCCAGTCACCAGCTACGCCATGGGAACGAAAGTGACCAAAAACAGTTCTGGGAACTCAGACTGGTGAAGGAGAAAGAGTCCACAGACACCCTGAAATAAATGGAGGTTTACAGCTTGGAGAAGTGCTAGGAAGGGGAAGTGCGTGTTGCCTGAGAGCTAGTACTAGAGGGAATCTGACTTAATCGGGTGTCAAGGAAGGTTCCCCTGAGGAAGCAACGCTTGAGCTGAGAGCGCAGAAGGAGCGTTCTAGGAGGCGCCAGGGTGCCAAGATCTGGTGATGGAGGGAACGCGTGCCTGTAAGAAGCGGTGGGAGGGAAATGTACCCGCTCCCGAAACTGACCTAAGGCCTAGCTGAATATGACCTGCCTTATGTTAAAGAGCCAAACCCCTAGAAAATTTTATGAGCAGAGCTGCGGGTTTTGAAAGAAAATATTTGCCTTTGGCTTTCTAACCTCATGTAATGTTACGTAGAACGTTCTGGGAAAGGTAAATATGTACCCCTTAGCTTTGAAGTTACTGACGCTTGCCCCCTTAATTTTCTTTCAGTTCTGGGATGAGTTGCTGAAACCATGGTGAAATGTTGCTCGGCCGTTGGATGTGCCTCTCGCTGTTTACCGAATTCCAAGTTAAAAGGACTGACATTTCACGTGTAAGAGTCAGCTGTAGTTAAGCTAAGTACTTTTGACTGTTAAAAGAAGCAAAAGACAGGTCTACTTAAATCTTTAATTTTGCAACCAGTTGCTCTACCCCTGAGCCAAACCTCCTAGATCTTCAGTTTTGAACTTTAACTTCTTTTTTAATAACCTTTTTACTTGAATTTGAAGTGACAATAATAATTTTACATTTTTATAATTAGTTCAGAAGCTTACGATACCTGCAAAGGTATCACAGACTGATTAACAAAAATATCATCAAACCTTTTTGCTAATAGTACTGTTTTGCATTTTAACATACCTTCAAAGAAATTATGTTGTTTACATGTAGTTTACAATCCAAATCAAGGATCTTTGCTCAAATATATTGTCCTTTAGAAATAAATCAACCTTATGTTTATGTTGATGTTTAAAAATAGATCAGGCTTATGTTACAGAGAAAAAGGTATAAATTACAACTTCAGACCAAGTTTAGCTGTACTGCAGATAAATTAAGATGGTCCTAATTTAGTATTTTAGTCATTCTTCTGACAGTATAGGAAAGAAGGAGCAATAAAGTTTAATAATTATTCATTTGCTGAAGTTTTATTTTGTTGCTTTTGTGCCAGGCATTGTGCTATGTGCCAGAGAAAGCATCTGCTAACTACTTTGCTAAGTATAAGGAAATAAAAAATGAACACATGTACCCCACTTTATTCCAAAAAGGACTTGAACCAGCTTGGAAAATTGGAAAAGATATGGCTATTAACCTCCAGATCTCAAAATCGTTCTGATCTCCAAAATTCCAAACTCCGCAGGAGTTCTCTGCATTCATTCACTAAGCATTTATACCCTTGTTTTGTATTAAATGTTGTACTAAACTACTTTTTGATGCTGATAGAAGAATGGAACTACAGGTGTCTCTGTTCATCTGGGATAAATTCATCAGATAGGAAAAGGCCCAAGTGATATTCTTCATCATCTATAGATGAAGAAAAACCTTCAGTTGTGAATTTTACTCTAAGGCATTAAATGCCTTTGGAAGATTTTCTTCTTTATAATATGAGAGAGAATTAAATGAGGGCTATTTGCCTGCAGCATTTTGGTACAAAAATCTGAGTATTAAAACTGAAAGTTATAAAGCCATAAATCGCAGTGGTTTCCTAAATATTCCAGTTCCCAAGAGTAATAACAAACCAGTTAAAGAATCAATTTAGGCACAGCCTTTTAATTCAAGTATATGTGTTTAATTTTAAAATACTGTATGTATTTTTTTCTAGATTCCCCACAGATGAAAACATCAAAAGAAAATGGGTATTAGCAGTGAAAAGACGTGATGTGAATGCTGCAGGCATTTGGGAGCCTAAAAAAGGAGATGTGCTGTGTTCAAGACACTTTAAGAAGACAGATTTTGACAGAAGTGCTCCAAATATTAAACTGAAACCTGGAGTCATACCTTCTATTTTTGATTCCATATCTCGCTTACAGGTTTGTTTATCAGATCCTGCTTACCATCATTACTCACTTTTTATGGACTATTTAAGAACCTTCACCACACTTGCTGCCATTTTTTACTGTTTGCTTATTAATTTGAAAACCATTCTTTTAAGTTTTTTTAAGATTTGTAAACTGCTGTGTAAGCTTTTGTAATGAATAGTAAGAGTGTTTTACCAGTAGCCCCTCAGAAATGTTAATATTTGAACCTTACTAAGGTTTGGTGAAGCAAACTTGAGTTAGTATAGCTCAAGATTTGGGTCTAAAATTTGGAGGAATGTTAAGAGTTGAACTGAAGTTCCAAGCTGGCAATGCTCCTCACACTGGAGCAGAAGTCAAGAGCAGAGCCGCAATAGACACAGAGTATACTTTGAGAGCCACATACATTCACACTTAAAGCCTAGGTAGAACTGGAAGGTAGAAAACAAAAAGTTAAGAAGAGAAAGAAGAGGTCAAAAAAAATAAAAGGGTTGTTTAAGGAAACTCTAGTTGTATTCTGTGGCTTTTCTCAATGATTTTAGTGCCACCGATGAGCTGCTTCACCCGCAGTATCTCTCTTGACTTCATATACCTGAACATGTACTCACTTGGAGAAACTCTAGAGATTGACTGATTCCAATGTGGAAAATTCAGGAAGAGCCTGTGGGTTCCCACACCAGTAGGAATGAACCTCCATTGAAAGGTATCTCCTTCCTGACAGCTGGAAACAGAAGTAGTAGTTCAGAAGATGTCTACTCCCATAGGGTCTTTGGTCACATTTGCAGATGTTTGTATCTCAGTACTTGAGTTATAAAGTGGAAACTGACTCAGTTTCTTCCATATTAATAAATGTATAGTATCTTCTGCAATTTGCTCTAAAGGGTTTGTTTCCTATACCATGGTGTCATCTGTAATGTTAAGCGGACCTTTAGAAATACGGACATAATAAGTCAAATAAACAATAAATTACTAACTTCCAAAAGTTATTTCCTAATAACAAGGAAATCACAGAATCCAGAAGTAACACTGTTAACACTCTATGTGGATCTTTTCTATCATTTGTATGTGTGTATTTGTATATAAATTCATCTATATTTATATATTCTTACAGAATAGAATTGTATATCCTTTTTATTATTTGCTTTGCTCTTTTTTTTTTTTTAACATTCATACAGTGCTTACTGTGTGCCAGGCACTAATCTAAGCACTTTACATATATTTTGACTCTTTTTAGTCCCCCAAACTACCACAAGATATAAATAATCTTATTCTCATTTGACCACTTGAGAAAATTTAGACCCATAAAGCTGGAATACATTCCCCAAGTCACACTGCTGTTAAATGGCAGAGGCTGGATTTAAACCCAGGTATTTTAGCTCCAAAGTTCACTCACAACTATTATAATATTTTCCATGATGTTAAATATTTTTCTACAACAATGGCTTTCAAATTTAGTCTACCTAAATATTATCCAGGGAGCTTGGCTTAAAATGCAGAATCCTAACCCCTTCTCCCAAAGAATTTGATTCAGCAAGTTTGCTTTGGAGTCTAGGATCTGCATTTTCTAATAGGCACCCTGCATGATTGTGTTGCAGCTCAATGGATCACATTTTTAAGAGAAACCTATGTGGAACATCAGTTTTTTTTTAACTAAACTTTTACTGAAGTCAACATACATACAACAAATGCACACATAAGTGTATAGACCATTGGACTTTCATAAAGTGAATATACTCATGTAACTCCTCTCAGACCAAGATGTAGAAAGTTATCAATGCCCCAGAAGTTTCCCTCATGCTCTTTCCCAGTCCCTATACCCTCGAAAGTACCACTATCCTGACTTTTACTCCTGTCAGTTATTGTAAGTGGAGTCATATAGTACATACTCTGTACTGTGGCTGCTTTCTCTCAACATTTTGTTCTTGTGATTCATCCACATCGCAGCATGTGGTACTAGTCCATGTATTTTCTTTGCACTATAATATTTTATTGCATTTGTTGTTGTTCAGTGCTAAGTCATGTCCAACTTTTTGTGACCTAATGAACTCCAGTGCACCAGGCTTCCCTGTCCTTCACCATTTCCCAGAGTTTGCTCAAACTCATGTCCATTGAGTTGGTGATGCCATCCAGTCATCTCATGTTTTGCTGCTCCCTTCTCCTGCCCTTAATCTTTCCCAGCATCAGGGTCTTTTCCAGTGAGTCAGCTCTTCACATCAAGTGGCCAAAGTATTGGAACTTCAGCCTCAGCATCAGTCCTTCCAGTGAATATTCAGGGTTTACTTTAGAATTGACTAGTTTGA